TTAAAAGAGAAGGTAAAATGTGTAATACAATCCAAGTTTCTTGTGATGACCAAGAGCCTTATTGATGTTCTCCAGTGGGAAGCACAGGGACGTCATAGCTCCATAAACTTGTTGCATGGTGGTTATTTTTCTCCAGGACCTGATAATGTATTCCATCCCATTACCAAACCACATGAATTGTCAATTTATTTCTTAGTTTCACATAATGGTCTGGTCTGAAAGTATTCAAGTGAATACATGCAAAAAAAGAAGTCACATCTTGAAGTTTAAGGAGCTTAATAGTACCTTTGTCCCTTTTCATCAAAAAACACATATGAAAGAAAAGCTGAGCTGTTGCCTCTTGGTGTTTTTTCAAGCTAATGTTTTGTTATTCCAAAATACCAAACCTTTCAGCCTCCTCATATTTGAATTTGACAGCTGTTGCTGAGGGATGGCATTGCTGTATCAAGTAGGCTGAACTATGTTTTGGTTGGAAAGAAGTATGGCTGTGGTATGGTTTGGTTTTGGTATGGCTGTGGTATGGCCAGGATGCTCTAACAGGTAAGCAGACCTGTCACAGCAGACCTGTGTCATCCCAGCAGAAATCTGGAGTAGGAATGTCTCCTGTTGAGGCTGTTTCCAGTGTATCACAGAGTACCATGCTTGGAGAAATGTTTATTTATACGTGGCAATACCCAGTTGTTAGGAGGCCACCTTGGATGTTGAGGCCAGTAAACATGCTGGTGTCAGTGACCCTGAGAATTCATAAACGAGGGGTGTTAGTTCACAGGCTGGGTTTGTGTTGTACACAGGTTAAGCTATGGGCTGCTTCCTGCATTCCTCAGGTGGAAATGAAGTCATGACTACAGGTTCTTGCATGCAGTCAAGAATTCCTCCTCACTTGTGCCTTGAGAAAGAGTTGGCTGCCTTTGTTTTCTTGCCTTAAGAATTGATGTGCAGGGAGAAATTTTATTTCTTAAAGTTGTGATAGGAAGTGCAGGTGTGTGGAGGTGGGTCCTAGTCATGCATATTTTCCAGCTGTGCCTGCTCCCAGATTGACTGGATAACACCTTCCATGTCACACAGGGTTCACCGTGAGACACTTGGTCTCTTTGTATCTTGGAACTTGAATGTTATTAATTAATTGTTTCTATGAACTTTTTTTTGTCTCCTCTTCAGTATTAAGAGAAGTGTGATGAAATGCTGTCACAGCAAGCGTCACTTGTGACACACACTGGTAACTTCAGAAATGTTAAGAATGTGTACTTGTCACTTTAATTTTGTACATTGGAGGACTTGAAGATAATTCGACTTTTAGATTTGGCAGTTATTCACTTCATGTAGACACTTTGTAATGTTGCTTTGGAATAGTATTAAATCCACCATTTCTCTTCACAGCTAAGTGAAATAAGTGGAATACCCTTAGAAAACATTGAATTTGCAAAGGTAAGTAAGATTTTATGTTTTTTTACCTTTTAATGGCACAGATGTGTGATTATGAGTTGTATTGTATTCACTAAGTAATTACTTTTTTCAGGGTAGAGGAACCTTTCCCTGCGACATTTCCATACTAGAGATTCATCAAGACTTGGACTGGAATCCGAAAGTATCTACATTGAATGTCTGGCCCCTGTACATTTGTGATGATGGTGCAGTAATATTTTATAGGTATGTATTTCATTACAGTATAATAAACAACACAAAAAATCCCTGTGGTTAACATTTGTGGGGTGATGTAATGGACAGGAACATAAAACACCTTTTGTTACCTTAAAGAAAAGGTTTGAAACATTCAGCTGAAACATTTGTGCTGCTCAGCTTCCTAAAAGCCTGAATATTAATTAAGGTTAAGAAAACAAGCACTGCATCTTTTTACTCAATCCTCCCTCCTGAACCACTGAAATCAAAGCTAGTTGCTATGCTTGAGTGTGGTTTTGGATTTAATTTCTTAAAATAGAACCATATCCCATGTGAGTTAGTGAGAGTCTTGCTGCAGATTTTGGAGAGCAAGGATTTTATTGTCTGAGTTTACTCCTTTGAGAAATTAGTACGGATTCTTTTTTAAAAGCCTGTTATGCTCAAAATTCTGTTAGTGTGGGAAATGTTGATCAGCTGGTGGCAGTAGCGTGGGGCAGGAGCTGAGGACTGAGAGCTTGAATATTGTCATTTCTCCTCAACTTGGTGGGGCAACCTGATGGACACATTGCTGTGGCAGTTTGCATAATTGCATGTGAGCTGGGGAGAAACAGCTGGTTAATGATGTGCTGGTCCTGATGAAAGTGACTCGGGAGAACATCTGGTGAGGACTTGCTGGCACACTGCTTCCAGCTGTTGGCACTGAGACCAAAAGCAGAGCAGAGCTGTGGTTGTCTGTAAGGAATAGGAGTAAGAGAGGTGGAGGAGTATGGGCTTGTTTCTTGCCCTGGTTTGTAGTCAGGCAGAACACGGAATGTTTCTGCTGGAAAAGCAGGTTTAGACACATTGCTTGTTCCTGCAAAATGAACCAATCCCTGAGAAGTATTATGCTTAGTTGTGGTTTTTACTAAGTTGCTCCAAGCCGAAAAAAAGCAGAAGTCTCCTTGTGGTTACTGTATTGATCTGAATTTAAACATATGTTTATGTTTTAGGGATAAAACTGAAGACTTAATGGAATTAACAGATGAGCAAAGAAATGAACTGATGAAAAAAGAAAGCAGCAGACTCCAGAAAACTGGACACCGGGTAACCTACTCTCCCCGTAAAGAAAAAGCACTAAAAATTTATCTGGATGGAGCACCAAATAAAGATTTGACTCAAGACTGATACTTGCTATAGCATTTTCCCTGGGGAATTTTTTTTGTTTCCAATCAAAAGGTTCACTACTACTGTGTAGTGCCATTACGGCAGGACATTCATTAGGTGTAACGCGCTGACACCAGCACAGCCGGGCGGTGCCGGCCGCAGGCAGGGCCCCGCTGGGCGCTGTGGGACTTGGAATCATGTTGTGCACTATAGTCAAATGTACTGTAAAGCTAAAAGGGATGTGCAAATAAAAGATTAGAACTCAAAAGTGGGCGGGGAGGGAAACGAGTGGAAATTGTTGAGGACGGTGTGCACATAGTAGCTAGTGAAACTAGCCTCCAACAGGATACTCATAGCTTAATAATAAAAGCTGTGCAAAGGCCATGAAAGAATCCTTTTCTCTGTTTGTTTCACTGATACACGCATTACCTCATCAGAGAGTCTGGAGTAAATATTAACAGATTGGTTCTAGGAAAGCAGCGGGGAAGGGCCGGGCGTGGGAGTGCTGCAAGTGTCAGGTTTTAGAATATTCTTCCATAAAACAGGGGGTCTGAGAGGTGTCTGCAGGAAGGTGCTGGCAGGCCTTGTTTGTTTGCAAAGTGCTGTTGTAAGGTAAAGTGGTTTTTAATAGGTTACCGATGAGCAGCTCTAGTGTATTGCATTCAATGTGTAAATAAAATCTGCCCTATCCATTTACCAGAACCTGCAGTTCAGCTATTTACCATGCTATTCTTTACACATATCAACATTCATTGTGTACATTTGGAAGTATAGTTGCCTATTTAAATTTGTATTCATTTTATGTTTGACGATGCTGGGTACTTTAGGGTTGTACTTCCCCTTGTTAATGAAGTTTTTGTTCTGTTCTGCTACTTTTTGTACATTTTGTTTTCAAGACTATTACAAGTTTGCATCTTCTCCACCTGCTGAAAGTCAGTTTATTTTTTCCCGGAGTTGATTCCATAGCTGTATGTAGTCAAATATTGGGGCAACCTCTTAACACCTCAATGTACGAGCTCGGTAGTTCAGGCTGTGGTGCAGAGACTGATGCAGTCAACATGATTTCATTGCAAAGCCTAGGAACAGCAATTTTTTGCTTTGGTCCATAAAGATCAATAGAGAACAATTCTCCATAGTTTTTGGAAAAACCACCTAATTTATAACAATCAAAAGATTTTGGTAAACTTTTTCATGCCAGATGCTGTTTACAACAATGAACATGCCAATAAAACATTTGTTCATTCTGTTGTGTTCTTTAATCATTAAATGCTGTGTTTTTTATTAAAAATACTATGGAATTGTTTCATGGAAATACAGACTTCCCCAAGGCAGTGCTGGAATTGCAAGGCTGTGTGTTTGTGTGTATGTACACACCCCCCTCTACGTTCAGAGTGTTGTTTTATAGCCTGGCTGCTGCTCCTCTTTACATTCACAGCAATTTTTTCTTCAACTGTGGGTTTCCTTTTCCAGGTCTGAATTTCTCACCAGTGAAACCTCCAAGTTCCAAGTATGACTGACAGCTAAATTCTGCTTCAGAGGGAAAGGGGTGTTCAGTAACAGAACCTTGAGTTCTTCCTTGCATGCTGGCAACCTAAAAATGCTGAGGAATCTGGCAGCTTGAGAAGCAGGCACTGCACAGAGGCATTCCCTCGTTATTCCTCCTCCCACTGTCCTGTGCTGCCTCTTGGCTGATGTGTGTGAGGTTGGAAGTGGGTGCAAAGGGAGCAGAGAGGGAAATACCATCCCCTAGGTAGGGTACTTCATTGAACTGCCACTTACCACAGATAGAGACTGCTAAAGCATCCTTAGATCTTCTGGAAGAGAAATGAATCGTGAATTTTCCTCACACTAGGGTATTTGGAAAGGCAGAAATGTAGAGATTAAATCCGGGGATGGCAGCACCAAGAACTTGAGAATACTGTCCTTAAGAGGGCAGTATTTACAGAGAGTTAACTGCTCTCATGGATATGTTTTTAAATAGGAAAGTAAGAGTGGCATTTAATTCCTTCTCTTTGTATAGATGAGGCTGTCTAAAGCACATTTATTTTATTTGGGATAGAAAGGGAGGGTAGACCCAGTGAACTCTTAGAGACGATGTCTGTGTGTGTGTGTTGGTGTGAGAATGGGTTGTAGAATCCATAAACCAAAACTAAGATTGTTTTGAACAATGAAATATTATCCTCCCTGTTTATAGCAATAATGGCTATTAATTCTGGTACCCAAGGAATTTATTGAAAAGCCTTCTTACACCAGAAGTGGGGAAAGGTGTGCAGGTTGGTAGCACAGTCTTACACCTGCTCTTGTTATTGGTGGTCTGCTGTTCCTAACTAGACACGAGCAATTGGGATTATTTGGGAAGAAGCACCATGAGAAGTTCCTTGGCTGGAACCTCACATCTTGTTTAACCATGTGCAAGAACAGATGGTGAAATCTATCAGAAAACCATTAATAGTGGAGGAGCCATGGTACCAAACTGGTGAGACAGCTGGTAGCTGGGGAGTTTGGGGGGTCAGATTTTACTCTTAGCTTGCTATTGATTTTTTAAATCAATGACCTTTTAAGATGGTAAAAATAATCACTTCTATAGTTACTAGCAACTTAAAATGATTTATGCTTGTGCGTATTTTTTAATGAGTACAAGTACGAAGAAGTTTATTTCTGACATACAAGAGGAAAGTACAAATCCAGAGGAGCACTCCTATGGTTCCCATTTGGCAGAAGGTTTGAAGGCAGGGACTGAATGAATTCCACAGTAGCATGAATTCCACAGGGACATGCAGGTTTGGTGCACAGAGAAGAATGCTCCTTGAAGACCTTCTTTATTGCACTTCTATCCAGTAGTGTGTGTTCAGGATTCATACAAGCAAGATGCTAAACAAAAAAAAATCTAGAAATAACTAACTAAACCGGGTGCTTTGGGTTTTAGATTTCATCTCCCAAAACCAGCTCTTGAGCTGACTCAGGCTCAAGTTTCAAACCTGCTTGGTCCTCCAGGCTTTCTAATTCTCTGCGCACTTCCTGGATGACACTGCTCTCCTCATAATCAGAGAGGAGATCTTGAGGGATCAGGCTGAGAAAGGGCATCTCATCCATGACTAAGGGATCTTCTTTTTCAGTGCGCTGCGTTTCATTGGCAGACAGCTGACACACAGATGTAGTGCTGTGGCTGTTGGGGAAAGGCACATCTGGTCACACAGTACAGCAGTTTGTGTTCTGCTACTCTGTGAAATTCTCCATTCCCTCCATATGAAAACATGCTAAATGCACAATGCATCTACCCTAGCTGGCTTCACAAGCACCTGATTCTTCCATGCTTGACAGCTGGTGAGTTATAAATGTGATTTCCACAAACAGAAATCCTAACAGCACAAAATGTTTGATCCTGGTAAACAAGAGCAGTGTTTACCTCAAAATAAACAGGTAACAAGAAAAAAGTCACTTGAATCTTCAAATTCAGATAGAAACTTCTGGACAGTTCAGCTATGTTCACACCCCAATTAATTTCTGTGTTTCTGTATCCTCATCTGAAACATTTTTCTTACTAGACCTGATATTTGCTGACAGACCTTCCCTGAGGTTAATGGTGCAGTAACAAAAATTTTGGTGCTGATAGGATGGGATCAGCTCTGCTTGCTTCTTTAGATGACATTTATGAAACAAAATGTTACCCAATTCCTTTTCATGCATGAAAAAACATAGAGTTGGACAGAGAAGAGAGAAATATTAATCTGCATCTCTATCCCAGCTATGATGCCTTGTTGGAAGTTAATATGGTGCTGGAAGTGTAGGAGAAAACTTGGAGAGTTTATTTCACAGAAAACATTGGTTTTCTAAAAATGCTTTTAGCAAAACTGAGATGATCTCACTTTCTGAAAAAGAAGTTGCTGACAATACAAATAACTCCTTTTAAAGAAATATTAAAAGCATGACCTATGAAAAGTTTGTATTAAAATTCCTGTAACATATCTTACTTTCTAAAACAAGCAAAAATCTGACAGAAGCCCAGTCTCACATAGAGAGTTGGTGGACAGGGACTGTATGCAGAGAATTGGAATGATGCATTTCAACAGCTGGTAGCACTGACTGATTAAAAAGCAGTACCAGCCTCATTAATTCACACACTTAATTCACACTGGATTAATGTGTTGCCAAACTCAATTAGGCACATCTGTGTGGGACAAAGCAAAAGGTTTCAATGTTACTGATGAGAAAAACTGTCAAAACTTTTTCTAGCCAGGCAGAACCTGCGAGTTCTGTAGCTATTTAGCACAGAAACAGGCCCCTCTAAAGTGCCAAGCAACTTGTTTGCCCAGCTTTGTGCTCACCTCTGAGGCTGGCAGCTCAAGCCACTGGCACAGGGGCACTGCTCCAGCACTCCATCGGGCTCCAGGTCCCAGGTGATGAGGTTGAGAAGTCTGTTTGAAGGATCATGGCAGGGCTCACCTTCCTCAGGTAAGGGTGTGCACACAGGAAACAGAAGCTCTGCAGGCCAAGAGAAAGGCATTTTAGGAGAAGTCCTTAGCTGTCTGCTAAACTGGGGTGACCCCATGTTTAATTCTGCATGCAAGATATAAAAAGACAGGCTCGACCTCTTTTCAAGTTCCCTTACGTGACAGGGAGCCATAACCATGTTTTTTCCACCAAGTGGGAGTGAGACATTTGAAGTTCATCCTTAATGAGCAAGATCAGCTTGACTCAGAGACTGCTGTCAAGGCAGTACAGCACAGCTCCATCCCTTGGAGATTCCAAACTCTTGTAATCCCAAGAAAACTAACATTACAGGGAATCCTTTGCAATGAGTAGCACTAATGGTCTGAAATCTGAATAGAGACATCTCTATCTTGAACTCTGTTATTTTTTTCTATTTCTTTGCAGAGGCTGCAAATACAGGGCAACTGTTAGAAACTAATGAGATCACAAAAACTACAACTGAGATATTTATTTTATCAGTTCTGCTGTGGGCAAAGCTGTCTGATGGCATCTGGGCCTCGGCACCCTCATTTCTACACAGGGCTGAATTTCAGCCTGTGTAAGAAATTATTAAGAAGGCTGTGTCCTTTGGGTTTCCTCATGTCAGTAGCTCCTAGTCTCAGTCTGGAATTCAGCTCTTCCAGATGTTCCTAGAAAACCTCCCTTCTTCCTCTTGTCTTCAGTCACTTCATATGGCAGGATGAAACATGAGAAGAATTCAAACTCTAAGTTTTTAAATCAGATTTGGTCAAAACCCACATATATGTGTATGCATGCAGAGACACATGTGCTTTAATGTACATGACCTATCAGTTCCCAGTTTCAAAACATTATATACTGAGCAGCAAATACTCCACAGTTTGCTACAGTTTTATATAAAAATGCACATCTTTATTAGAACAATCATTTGCAACTCTCTAGTGATGGAGAAAGGCCTTGAGGTTAGGCCTAACCTGAAAAACCCTGCCCTGCTAAAGCAGACAGCCACGGGGAATAAAAATTCATTGCTATTAATCAATAGCACTGTTTTATGTTCTAACAAGTGTGTTCTATCAATATTCATCAATATTCTTACCTACTGAGATATATATATATATAAATTTTTTCTCAATAACTATGTATTTTGTTCCTTCCTAACCAAACTTACTTAGCACTGAAGGTCCACTATGTAATACTCAACATCAACATGGGGAAGCTGAGCAGATCCTCTTCACTTTTAAATGGTGCTGGAGCTTTCTCCTTTGTTTTCTTGGAATGCCCTGCAGCCTGATCCAGCAGCAGGATGGAAAGTGGGACAGGCCCAACCCAAGGTGTGCTCTGGCTCACAGCAAGGAAAAAAGCTAGGGAAGTGTGTACCTGGTGTAGGGAGCTGGCTGGAATTGTGTCCTGTCACTACTAAAATAACTGTGATAAATTAATTAAATAATAAATTAAAAATAAAGAAATAAAATGAGAAATAAAATAAATAAATAGATTTTAAAAGTGAATAAAATAATAAAGAAATACAATTTAAAAATAAACAAATAAATAAATAAAGAATAAAGTAAGTAAACTGTGATAAATGCAGTGAGAGCTGGTGGGTATAAAAGAGCACAAGAAACTGGACCCAAATCAAACAGGATTGGGGACTGATCCTTGTCCTCTGTGCTCCCTCCTGCAAATGAAGTTTCCCATTCCCATGTGGACTGACAACATGATCTGGGACATCATTCCTCAGTGTATCTGGCTGCCTGGTCACCACTGCATGGTGTGATGCCCTGGAAGGCCCACATGAAACTCGGAGTATGAAATGTATCTGCAGCCTGATTCTGATGGGCTGCTTGCTGAGAGGAAGGAGAAGCCACTTTCAGCCAGCTCATTAACTTCTTCTGCACATTTGTAATTCTATCATTTTTGCTCAATTGTGTGTAAATTTGACACAGAACTCCCCTTTAGAAATGTGCATTTTTGTGCTTCTGCTGCTGGCCTCATCTCTAGTGTGCAACAGGCTTTGCTTTCACCAGCATGCATCCCATCAGGCTGTTTCTCACTCCTAATTCTATCAAAGTTTTCTTCTTTCAGTGCATTCCACAGGCCAAGGGATAACAACCTGCTGATTCTGCAGAGATTTAACCACTTCCCCCGGGCTAAAAAGAGCCAAATACCAAGGCTCCTGCAGGCTGAGATGACAGGACAGAGCCCAGTTACCTTTGTGAAAAGCACAGCACGTCCCAGGGTTGCAGTCGTGCTGGGTCTCACAGATGGTGCCGTTCTCCCCTCTGGAAGAGGATCTCCTGCACTGGCCCCACACGCAGAGCTGCTCCCCACAGCACTCCACATCCCGTGAGCAGGGCTGCCAAGGGCAAAGGCATGGGATAAACCTGGCACTTCAGCACTCAGCACACGGCACCTCACACAGCTGCGCTCAGAACTGGGCCCTGGGCCTGAGCACCACAGTGAGTACTTTAAATAGATCTCATATTGCCACTGTTTAAGCAGAACTGCTCAATTTCTCAACTGAAGCACACCTGGAACTACTGCCAGACAGGAACCTCCACAGCAGAGTAGCAGCACTCCATCCAGCCTGGCCTTGGCACTGCCAGGGATCCAGGGGCAGCCCCAGCTGCTCTGGGCACCCTGTGCCAGGGCCTGCCCACCCTGCCAGGTGACAATTCCTGCCCAATACCCCATCCATCCCTGCTCTCTTACAATTTACAGCCATTCCCCCTTATCTGTCACTACATGCACCTGCAAAATGTCCCTCTCCAGCTCTCTTGTAGCCCCTTTAGGTACTGAAATGCTGCTCTAAGCTCTCCCCAGGCTCCTCTCTTCTGCAGTCAAGGGAAACAAAAAATTAATAAATGAAATGTCATCAATGGAGAGCATTACTGATTTTTTTCCCATTGTCAAATGAAGTCAGGAATTTACAATTTTTTCAGAAGAATTGTTTTCAAAGAGCAAAGCAAAAAAAAAAAGTCTTACTAAAATCTGTTTTTCAGTTGTAATAAGAACCAGACCTCATTGGTAACCAAGAATCTTTGAAAAAAATCTCTCTGAAAAAAATCTCTTTGTGAATTTCTAGCTAAAGGTTGCTTTGTATGACAATTGCCCAGTGTTTCAACTACACACGCCTAAGAAATCAACGTAATAAAAGCCATGTGTGTCACTTTGTTTCCTTTTTTAGGTAGTCTGATTCACAGTCTTAAATAGTCCTAGCAGGTCAGCATTTCTGCAGCTTTTTCCCGTCTGTGTAAAGCCCCATCTGGGCAGCCACACAAAACCTGTATTTCTTTTCCAGTGGATCCCACAGGAAGTGCTTAACACAGGGCAAAGAGCAGGACTACACTGGCACTACTAAGACCTGCTAATTAAAGAGAAAAATGCTCTGTAGCTGTCAAGGTTCTAGGTCAGGGAATTGATCCCACCTCCTTCAGCCAGAGCTCACTTTCCAACACAAGAGTAGCTAGGATCCAGTTTTTACTTTCTTTATCCTACAAGTGTTCTGCTGAGAACTGAAAAGGTGGGGAGGGGGATAGGTGTTGGGCCATCACAATCTTGATTTTTAATTACTTTCTATTAACAGGAAATTTTGTTACCCTCATGCAGAAAGCTTTGAAGCTTCTTTCCTGTCAATTTTGACTTGCTGACATTAGCAACAATAAATTCCTGAGTTTCTAAAGATCACATGAAATCCCATCTCATTCAGTACTTACTGTGTGCTGGGGCTTGCAGAGCTGACATTTGTATTCCAAGGTGGAGAACTGGCAATACTTCCCTGGTTCACAGTCTTCATCAATGATACACTCCTGGAGGAAAGGATAAAAGAGTGATTTACCAAAAAAGCTCTTCATTGATTATATTTCTTATTTGGGAATCAAGACAAGAAGCTTGCTGGGGTTCTTTGTTCAATCACAGCTCTGTAACAGACCAGTGCCCTCTCCCTGGCTTATCTAAACCCTCTGGCCTCAAATTGCTGGGTGGCTTCACTTCCTGAGCCCCTGGCAGTGAGGAGAACACAGAGAGTGAGAGTGATATATTTTTGCATCCTCATGTCCGGTTCACAGGGAGGGGGTGTTTTCCCATCTAATGGTTACCTCTCAAAAACTGTGTGATTAACCCTCTTCTCTATTTTTTTTCCTCCAGGATTATGGAAACAATTTAGTCAACAAAAGAATAACTCATAGCACTGTTCCGAGTCACCTGTTTGTGACCTGTCCAGCACTGGTTTGTACCACTCTTAGTGAAAAGGAAAAAGGAAAAAAAGAAAAAGGGATTACACAAAAATCCCTGAATTCTCTGAAGTAAGCACTTGACTGCTCTTTGGCAGACACTAATCTCACTTGCTGAAGCAAATCACCTGTGCAACCTCTACTGAAAGTTCCCACTAAGCTTCTCCTTTTCTTCAGAGCTCTTCCAGATTCAGCCTTTTGGGGGGTTCTTGCCATGTGAGAGGCAAGGCTGCTCTGCAGGAATCAGCCTTGTCTAAGTTACCCATTCTGGCCACCTCAGATGTTTTCCAACAGTTTACTACGTTCATTTATGTGCAAATTCACAGAATCACTGGGGTGGAAGAGACCTTCAAGATCATCGAGTCCAACCCAGCCCCAACACCTCAACTAAGCCCTGGCACCCAGTGCCACATCCAGGCTTTGTTAAACACTCCCAGGGATGGTGACTCCACCACCTCCCTGGGCAGCCATTCCAGAGCTTTATCACCCTTCCTGTAAAAAACTTTTTCCTAATATCAAACCTGTATTTCCCTTGACACAACTTGAGACTGTTTGATTACTCAGAACACAGAATAGAAGATAAACAGTCTGGGGCCTGACTCTTTTCCAGTCCACAACTCAACATTCAGGTTATGTGTTTATAATTCAGAAGGAGTAATTTTAGCTGTTTGAAGGAATTAGTATAACCAGGTCTATGCTGCTATAAATTATTGCAATGTTTTTCTACTTCATTATCCCAATACTGTGTGTGGTTGGGTTTTTTTGGTGGTGGTTTTTGTTGTTGTTGTTTGTTTGTTTGTTTGTTTTCTTTTCTGTTGCTACATAATCAGGTGGACCAAAATGCAAACATCCAAATGCTATGCAGTATGTTGGAGGTTTTGTGGCTCCAAGTGAGCAGCCAGCCTCCTCTCTTCAGCAGCTATGCCCTTCTAGGCCAGCTTTGTGTTTGTTGCTTTGTCAGCTGCTTTTATGAATGCCCTGTATAAACCATACCCAGAACAGACTGTTTCACTCCTGTTCCATCCCCTTTCAGGCAAACAACCAGGTCTCACTGTAGTCAGGTTTTCCACTGTCCTTCTCTACAAAGGAGAAACCTTGCCATGATTGCTCTAAGCTCATGGAATAATTCTAGCTCTAAAACACCTAACACTAAAGCTGCAATTCTCCAGCTGCTGCTTTCTCCTGAATTAATGAGTCCCACACCAAAAAACTTTTTCCCCTTACTGAATTGCGTCCCACCACTTCAGACATTCAGTTTTATGAGAGTTTCCAGTCAAGGAAAAAAAATCCCTTTGTGGTTTTCTTTCTGGCATGGCAAAGGCACTTCATGTGTGCTCTGTGAAGTTGTGTGCCACACTCCACACCAATTTACCCCACCCAGACACCCAGAGTTAATGCAGAGCTCAGTTGTGCTTACATGCAGATGTGTGACCATATCCTCTTTTAATTATTTATTTTTCCTTATTTAATCAGGCAAGGACCTTTTCTGATTCAGCTACCTTTAGATAGAATAGTTGCTGGACAAGGAGCAAATCTGAACTCCTTCATCAGCTGCAGCAGATTCTGAACAATCCATTTTTTCCTGGAATTGCAAAACTAAATTATCTCTCAGAATATTTTGTCATTGCATGAGCAACTGGGTAAACTGAGAGAGGGAGTGCTGGCTTCTGATGTGCAGCAGAACATACAAGTTGGGCAGACAACTTACAGACAGAATTAGGCACATGATAATGATGTACATCTCTCTGAAATCCAGTTTGGTGTACTAACAGTTAATGCTGTGGCAAAGGAATAGGCTGTTTGGGAGTAATACAGAGTGGAAGCAGCACTGCCTATTTATTAATGGGTGTACTGGGACCCACCAACAACAGAGGCCAGGATGGAGAATCCCATGCCATGTACCTGTAAGGGCACACTCAGCATTCTGTGGATTCTTATTATAATATTGTTCTCTGCAGTGAATATCCTGCAGCACCTGGAAGCTATTTGGGCACTACGATCTGTTCCAAAATCAACAGGGGAAAAAAAAAAAACAAACAAACAAAAAAATCCACCAAAAAAATGAAAATCATGGAAAAGGTTCCTAAGTCGTCTCAAACAATTGCTGCTGAAAGAAACTTATGGTTTCTTGTCTTGGGTAGATCATGTCAAAGATTATTTCTTTCCTAAAGAAAGGTCAGTGTCCATTTTATTTGAAAATAAAGCAGTAAGTGATGTTGGTGATAGCTGAACGTGGCAGCTCGCAGACACTGAAACTGGGGCAGGTCTGAGTGTGCAGGCCAGAGCTGCTGGGACAAGCTTTGACAGGAACACTTTCTCTCAGGCCCTTGCACACACGTGGGAAGGCACAAAATAAAATAATTTTCTCTGTGTGATGTACCAACCTGCAGCACTGGGCTGGAAGGTGCTGCAGGCAGCTCTGCAGACTGGGCTGGCTGCTGGACTGCATCCACCCCACCCCGGGGTGGATCACATCACCCTCTGCCCACACCAAGGAGGATCAACAGGGACGAGCCAAGAATTTCTCATTTCAAGTCATGAAAGCAGGACACAAAGGCCAGAGTTAACCAGCTTTCATACAGAAACCCACTGTCTTTGGCAGTGTCCATATGGCTTCTGTGCCTCACTATGGCAGTACATTTAATGCTGTTTTGCTGGTGATACAGTATGTACTGAAATAACACTCATTTTGCTTTGATCTTATCCCCCTTAATTCTTAATTAAAACCCTAATTGTAGACTAAAAAATATTCTGATGATGTCTAACCTTCAAAACTGACTCATTGATTTTAAATTCACAACTGGCATTTGATTTGTCCATTCCCTCTCCCCACTCACACTCACCCTGCCTCCACATGCTCAGAAAGTTCTTCAAAGATAACTTTAAACAAAGCTCTTCACTATTCATTTCTTCAGCTAATATTTGTCAGGGACTGTCTTGAGTGAGACTTTCTCTCCTGGGATCTTTACTCTTTAGTTTAGAACCCAAGAAAGCAGAGGAAGGCGTGACCATGACTTAATATGTTTCTGTGGTTCTCTGGCATGGGAACACTGAGAATCAAGCAAGAGAACCCCTTTTCCCCTCCCAGTGTAATCTACATGGCTCAGTTTGCTGGCTTACTGTGATCCAGGTAAAGTTTGTGCCTATAAACTTCTGCAGGAGCTGAGGAGAGAGGCAGGATTGTTTTCTGCACAGCTGGTAAGCCAAAACAGCCCTTCCAAAGCGTTCATTCCTAACCCTCCATGTGTTTCAGGTGCCCAAGCCATGAAGTGTAGAGGCAATAATCAATAATTTTGGAGAGCTGAAGAAGTTCTGCCATCAGAAACACAACACAGGAAGCAATGCCACTAGAGTAATTGTGGCAATTAGAAAATGAGTTTTAGTAACAACCTTGGAAACGCATGGGAGCACCCTCTCACTGTATTTCAGGACAACTGTCCTCCAAAAGCTTCTCTGAACAAAAGCCCCTTTACATGTTTATTAAATATATAAATACAAAGCAATTCCTTTTTCAAAAACCTACAACTCAGGAAAAACTGAGTGTTAGCCTCCATAAACCACAGCTACAGATCCTTCCCAAACATGCCAGAGCTCACCCAACTGCACCCGTGAGACAGCAACAATTCCAGCTGTGGCTGCAGTGCCATGTTCACAGTGGAACTGACATCTCTCAGAGGTGAGTCCTTCGAAGAGTTAACATTTCTGTGTTTACAAATCCCCTTCCAGGTTTTGTTTCAATTTCTGCAAGTTGTTTCACGCAGGGCTGCTCTCCATTACTGCAGCAGATGGCAAAAAACTGCTGAGTAGTAAGGAAAAAAAAGAAGCATAAAACCTGTTTTATATCCTACATGTATTTTAAAAAAGGCAGAATTACATATAATGGAATATTGTTTTATGAAAATTACTACCTTAATTTGAAATGCAGTAGCATTCCGGTTCCTAATCTCTCAGTTGTCTAGACAGGGCACATAATACATTTGTCTTTAATGAGATATGTATTCATTTGCCTTGAAATACCTCAAAACCTCTGTAATACTTTCCAGCAGTGCAAGTCTCTCACTGCTGTCCTGCCAAGCACACAACACTCATAAAACTAGGAACTTCTGTAAAAAAACAGACGTCCTAAAAAGAGCAGACATCAGCTGCAAGCTGTGTTGGGGGTCAGTGCCGTGGGGAAAGCCAGCTCTTTGGGTGGCTGCTCAACAGGAATGTGACTGCTGAGCTCAAAACCAATAAACAACAGAAAACAAGTCCCTAGGCTTTGTCTTGAACTTCCCCATAGAGCTAATCTCATCCGATTCCTTCTCCCCCATTTCCCAGAAACATTTTATTTGGAAAAACTTCATTGCGGGTTCTCCACATGACACAATATAAATGGAGGCAAAATATGTCTACATGACATAACTGAAAGTGGCCTGAAGGCACTTGAGCTTGGCTTTAGGTACCCAAAACAACACAGCCACGTTAGCCTTAACATGCTGTCAAAAAGGGAATTATTGAGGCAGGCTGTGATCCCCAATAAACTGCCCACCACCAGTGTAAGAACTGCATCCCTTTCTACACTACCTGCTTATTCC